TTCAGTACGTCTCCTCTCCTCGATCTGACTTGCCGAAAACCATGTTCTTCGCATTCGCTCCTTTCTGCAGTCGCTACTACGTTTCGCTGTTATTGTCGCTCATCGCCTTCTTATTGTCTCCGAGATCTTGCTCGTTCTGCATCCCTAGTTGTCTAGCCCTTTGTTACTCTTTGTGATCTAGTTCTTGTAGCAATGCCTGTGAGGCAAGCTCTTCTTTCCTGCTGTTCTTCTTGTTTCCTTCACGTTCTTGCTCTTTCAGGAGTGTTACCACGAGAGCTTCCCTTTGTTCCTCTTCTTCTTCCTCCTTCCGTGCTCTTGCTCTTCGGCTTAGTCTTTCTGAGCGAGCTTGTCGCTGCTCCTTTCCTTCTCCCTCCCTCTGCGCCGTTGCTCTTTAACTGAGCCGTCCTAAGCGAGCTTCTCGCTGCTCCTCTCCTTCTTGCTCTCACCGCGCTCTTGCTCTTTGACTCACTCTTTCTAAGCGAGCTTGTCGTTGCTCCTCTGCTTCCTGTTCCCTCCGTGTTCTTGCCCTTTCTGCATCCTTGCGAGGCGAGCTCTTCGCTCTTCTTCACCTTCCTGTGCTCTTCTCAGTCTAGTTCTTCCAACAACCCTCGTTGGATGAGCTCTACTCTGTTCCTGGCTTCCCTTGCTTAGTGTTTAGCTAACATCTTAAGGATGGCTTCTAATCCCGCTCATAGTTTTCTGCAAAGAGGGTTCAAATCAGGTACGGAAGCTCGGACACGACAGAAGTAGCATAATATTCGGGCCAGGTGTTTCAGTACTTAATGCGTGCCGAGATTGGTTGTTCATCAGTTTGACACTCCTTTCTTGTCCACTATCCTCTGAGTTTAATGTGACCCCCCCCCCTCATGTTCTGGTCGTTTTTTGTCTTTCTCTTATCAGAATTTGTGCTCTTTGAGCTGAGAGGATGCCTTCATTTTCTCCCTTTTCTCCCCTACCTCTGCCCTTGCAGATGAAGGTGTTATAGTGCCTACTGTGTAAAGATAGTTAGGTTATCGTACGCTCGACATCTGAGCACATATTAGCTTAAGATGCAGCTTGGTACATCATGAAAACCGCATGAAAACCATGGGTAATCTAAAAAAAATAAAGAAAAGATCTTGACAAATAAGTCAATAAACATTCAAAGAAAAAGAGAAAGCCCTCTCAACTCATGTATCACAGCATTCGGAACAAAAGGGAAAATATATCAAAATCATGAAGCACAGCATTCAAAAGTGAAAAAAAGGCGAAAATTGTCACTAATGTTAATTAGATGGCAGGCGTAAAAAATGCAGGCTTAGCTGCAGGGTCGTATTGAATGAAATAATAAAGTTTTAGAAAAGTTGGCGTATCTGTCAGAAATTGTAGCTATTTCAGACGTAAGACGATCAAATTCTAGTTGTCTGATCCGAAACTGTAAGTAAAAATGAGTCAAAATTTGAAAATTGGTGGAAAACCTGTTTCTTAGGGAACAGTGGTAGCAAATTTATAGCAAATATAAGTAAAAACATTGAACTTATTAGCTGATGGGGTTATACAAGCAAAAATGAAGAGAGGAGAAAGGGATTCAAGTTTTGAGACGACATGTCGTCCGCGCGAGAGTGCTGAACTGAGTGTATGGAATTTTGAAGTAAAACATATGGCTCAGAACGAAGAACTAAAACTGAGGTGTCTTTTTAAAAAAATTGTTTTGAATATGTTAAGGAATCGGCTTCAAAAGTCAGTTCCGTTCAGAAAAATCATTGTAGGAACTCCTTTTATAAATGAAATCGTGCGAGATATAGCCAGCCACAATTGAGTTGGATAATTTTTCGCTTACAATAATGGTGCAATATTCCACAGTATTCCTATATTATGCTAATGTACGAAAAATGCGGTGAAAAATTTTTCAAAGGGTTCTAGCGCGTCGAATTAATGTTATTTCATGCTAGTTTGTCTAAAGGAATATGTTAAGACGTGCTGGTCATTTGTCTGTTTCTATCGAAAGAAAGTACTAAAGAGGTTGGATAACTATTTGAAAGAAGTAAAAAGAACCGTCAAAGTAGAAATTCATGCAGTATCACAAGAATGGAGATTCATATGATTGGCTGATAACAGTGAAGCGGTTGTAATGCATTGCTGGCGCTTGGAGGTTGTCCCACATCCGAGGTTGGCCCACACCCATGCATTTATCCTCAGGTACAAGAGGGTGGATGACTCATATCCGTGAAGCATCCTTAGGAATATAAAATATATGAAAATATGTCGTCACGCTGGGACATCGTACTGACATGATTGGGGGAGCTGTGATTTTTACAAAATCCAAGTAGTTGTGTTTTATGTAGAAATGATGAGACATACATATCAAGCTACATTACATAGTTTAGAGTTTGATGACAAAAAANAAAAAAGTAGATGTCGGGTGTAGCGCGGCCGCCCAATGAGTTGATTGGCTGAAATTTTGAGGTGAAATGGGGTATGCGCCGAATCTCCAAACCTCATACTTGTGATGATTGTATGTCAAAATTCAGCTGTATTCGACCTATTATAGCTTAGACAGATGTTGAGTAGGTAGCGCGTCCCTCCACTGAGTTGATGGGCTTAAATTTGGAGTGGAAATGGGGTATGCGCCGTATCTCCAAATCTCATGCTTATGATGGTTATAGGCCAAAAATCAGCTGATTGGGACTGTTTATTAAGCTAGGTTGCCTCTTATATATACCAGTTGGGCTACGCGTGCATTATACATATGTCGACGACCGCTTGGACCGCTTGTCTACGATGGAGTCATTCAGCGGAATGTTGGATCATCAGCATAAGGCAGCTCTAGATTTCTAGATTTGAACGCTGAACTACTCAGAGCATCACGCTCAATATATCTCATTTGAGCAGAGTTATTAGTGGTTGATCATAGCTCCGTCCACCTCAGTGCAGACCCTTTCCACTATAAAAACTTGACCATCCTTCCTTCAACTGCTCCTAACCGTTTTCTCCGCATTTTAGAAAGTTTTTGAAGATGAATTTTTGGTCCTGGCCCCGCTTTTGTGTGCCAACTCCGCTCCCTTCGAGGACTTAACCACATTTGTTCCAATACCCCTGACCACTTTTTTCCCGTGTGTAGAACGTTTCTGAGCAGAGCTATAAACTTTTGATCTAAGCCCTGCCCACTTT